TCAGCTCTGGACGGGCTGCTCATGGCTCTGCCCTGCCACCCTCGGGGACCCGCTGTGCCAGCCAGCCCTGCGAGAGGAGTGATGGACACTGTGACGTGCCCACCCAGGACCCCCTGGTAGGTGGTGCCTGCTGGGGGTGGGGGACAAAGCCAGGCTGTGCTGGGGTATCTCTGGGCTGTGCTCACTTCTGCTGAGCTCAGGACATCTTGTGAGCTCTCCCCGGGGATCTCGGTGCCCCGTGCCTCGGTTTCTGCACCCGTGCCACGCAGGGCTGGTGCTGACTCTTCAGGCTGCCCTTGCTGGCACAGCAATCCTGGGCCAGAGCTGCTGAGACAGCCGTGGGCAGGCAGGCAGGTGTCCTCTGCAGGGCTGTGCTCCTCACTGCCTGCCCCCCTGGGAGCACACACAGCTCACAGGGCTCCCCACGGGCACCCTGGGGCTCTCTGCTCCTCGCTGCCTGCCCCCCTGGGAGCACACACAGCTCACAGGGCTCCCCACGGGCACCCTGGGGCTCTCTGCTCCTCGCTGCCTGCCCCCCTGGGAGCACACACAGCTCACAGGGCTCCCCACGGGCACCCTGGGGCTCTCTGCTCCTCGCTGCCTGCCCCCCTGGGAGCACACACAGCTCACAGGGCTCCCCACGGGCACCCTGGGGCTCTCTGCTCCTCGCTGCCTGCCCCCCTGGGAGCACACACAGCTCACAGGGCTCCCCACGGGCACCCTGGGGCTCTCTGCTCCTCGCTGCCTGCCCCCCTGGGAGCACACACAGCTCACAGGGCTCCCCACGGGCACCCTGGGGCTCTCTGCTCCTCGCTGCCTGCCCCCCTGGGAGCACACACAGCTCACAGGGCTCCCCACGGGCACCCTGGGGCTCTCTGCTCCTCGCTGCCTGCCCCCCTGGGAGCACACACAGCTCACAGGGCTCCCCACGGGCACCCTGGGGCTCTCTGCTCCTCGCTGCCTGCCCCCCTGGGAGCACACACAGCTCACAGGGCTCCCCACGGGCACCCTGGGGCTCTCTGCTCCTCGCTGCCTGCCCCCCTGGGAGCACACACAGCTCACAGGGCTCCCCACGGGCACCCTGGGGCTCTCTGCTCCTCGCTGCCTGCCCCCCTGGGAGCACACACAGCTCACAGGGCTCCCCACGGGCACCCTGGGGCTCTCTGCTCCTCGCTGCCTGCCCCCCTGGGAGCACACACAGCTCACAGGGCTCCCCACGGGCACCCTGGGGCTCTCTGCTCCTCGCTGCCTGCCCCCCTGGGAGCACACACAGCTCACAGGGCTCCCCACGGGCACCCTGGGGCTCTCTGCTCCTCGCTGCCTGCCCCCCTGGGAGCACACACAGCTCACAGGGCTCCCCACGGGCACCCTGGGGCTCTCTGCTCCTCGCTGCCTGCCCCCCTGGGAGCACACACAGCTCACAGGGCTCCCCACGGGCACCCTGGGGCTCTCTGCTCCTCGCTGCCTGCCCCCCTGGGAGCACACACAGCTCACAGGGCTCCCCACGGGCACCCTGGGGCTCTCTGCTCCTCGCTGCCTGCCCCCCTGGGAGCACACACAGCTCACAGGGCTCCCCACGGGCACCCTGGGGCTCTCTGCTCCTCGCTGCCTGCCCCCCTGGGAGCACACACAGCTCACAGGGCACCCCACGGGTGCCCTGAGGCTGAGGGTGCCCATGTGCTGGCAGGAGGATGTTGCTTCACCTTCCTGCACGTGTGTGTGTGACAGGGAGTGATGGCACCTGCCCAGTGCACACGTGTCTGTGCGTGGTCACATACGTGCTCCGTGCCAGCTCCTTGTCCCCACTCAGCTGGCTGTGCCCACAGCCCCTGCCCTCTGCTCCCTCCCAGCACAACGCAGGGCTTCTCTAGAGGGTTTCTTGCTGCCTTGTCCCCAGGAGACACCCAGCTGGGAAGAGGGGTTTGGCTGGTGCTGGCTGTGGCAGCAGGGCAGGTTTTCCACCCATGCCTGCTCCCTGGCACAGTCTGCTGCTGCCATCTGGGGGCTCTGTGCCCCAGCCCCCAGCCTGGGCCATGGCAGCCAGGGATGTGGCAGTTTCTCCAGGGCATCACCTGTGGGAGCAGGTACCTGTACCCCAGGTGCCAGTGGGTGCTGCACCATTCCCAGAGCCTCAGCCCGGGCTGGAACAGGCATCACACACACAGCCTGGCTTGGACACACAGGAGAGCAGCCTGGTAATTTTCCACTCAGATTTCCTTCCAAGATCTGGTCAGGCTCTGCCCGTGTTGTCTCCCACTCTCTTTCCAGCCTTCATTCACCCATGGGAGATGCTGCTCTGCCCTAGTCCAGGGTCTGACCTGTCCATTGCCTCCCTGTGGCTATGGCCCAGTGCCAAACTGGGAGGTTAAGAGCTGGGGGGTTCTTTTCTGAATCAGGGGGAGAGGAAGCTCTTCACCTTTCCAATCAGTGCCCTCACATCACTCACTCCCTGTGCCCAAGGCCTGGGAAAAGGGCACAGCTTGGAGGTCTGGCCCATGCCCTTGGTCTGGGGGGGCACAGCCAGAACATTTGGTGTGGAGGGGGTGCAGCCACTCCTGCCTGCCACACGCCCAGGACTGGGTGTCAACAAGAAAGGTCTGATCACTGTCCCTCTGGAGACGTCCTGTTCCTGGCAGAGCTGGCTCCCCTCTTCCCTCTCCCTGGCACTCACCCGGGGTTTTAAACACCCACTTGAGTCCCCAGGCATGAGAACAGGGACAAGGGAGGGGCTGTGGCATCACAGCCTGTTGCCAGCATCAATCCTGCCCCTTCCCAGCATCAATCCTGCCCCTTCCCCAGCGCCCTCCAGCCCAGGACCTGCTGCACCAGTGCCCTGCCCTGCTCTGGCACCTCCTGTGCCCACCCTGCCTGGTCACTGGCCCCCAGCCCTGGGGCAAGAGAGCAGGTTTTGGGGGCTGAGTGAGTGGAGGAGTGGTGCTGTGGAAGGGAAGTCCTGCCTCCCCCTCCCAGGCCATGGTATGGGGGGACCAAGGGGGAACCCAGCAGCCACCACCAGCCACAAGGACTCACTAAAGCCACTTGCCACCACTGCTAGGGCAGGGTTCTGCCCCCCCAGGTGCCCACTCACTGCTCTGGTGTGGGTACTAGTGCCATGGGATGGCTGTGGGGCAGCAGGGCCCCCTCCCAAACCACAGCCTTATGGTCTGCATGTGAACACCAGAGCTGACAGGGCTCAGGAGCTGGCACAGGGTGCTGGGCTGGGCACAAGTGCCAGGAGAGGCAGGGAAGCTGGATCAATGACACTGGCTTAGGTTTCCTTGGTGCTTTGATGGACACACCTGCAACTTTCCATTCCTGTGCTCTTTTTTAATTTATTTTTTTAACTCCCCCCTCCCTTTCCCAAGCTGGGAAGCAAATGTAGGGGTGGTAAAACAGACCCGGGTGCCTGTGGTGGTGCTGGAAACAAGCACATGTTGCAGCCCCAGCTCTGCCATTGGTTCTGCCCCATTACCCAGCCCCGGGGGGCAGTGCCAGCAGCAGCACCCGCTCCCACCAGAGCCAGGACGTGGTGGGGGTGGCTCAGAACGTTCTCCCATCCCTTCTTCCCCAGCCACCTCCTGCCCCTGCACCACAGGAACCACCACCCAGAGGGGTTTGCAGCCTGGCGGGTGATGGTGCCCGCTCTCCTGTGGGGCAGAGGGAGGAGGAGTGAGTGGCTGTGCCCACTGAGCTGCCAGCAGGACTAGGAGAGGTTGGTGGAGGGGCAGGACCGGAGCTGTGCCGCCCCATTAACCACCCTGGGTGAACATAGGGTCAGAGTTCTGGCCAGAGCCACCCGCAAAACTGCCGGCAGGTCTGCACAGCCCCATCCTGAGCAGCTGACGTGTCTGGCCTGCAGCCAGCCCTGGCCCTGCTTGCCTTTCCGGGGCCAGCCCGGCCCCGGGGCAC